TTAAGGTGGGCTGGAACTCTCGGGGGCTGGAACTCTCGGGGCTGGAACTCTCGGGGGCTGGAACTCTCGGGGGCTGGAACTCTCGGGGGCTGGAACTCTCGGGGGCTGGAACTCTCGGGGCTGGAACTCTCGGGGCTGGAACTCTCGGGGGCTGGAACTCTCGGGGGCTGGAACTCTCGGGGGCTGGAACTCTCGGGGCTGGAACTCTCGGGGGCTAGAACTCTCGGGGGCTGGAACTCTCGGGGCTGAAACTCTCGGGGCTGGAACTCTCGGGGCTGGAACTCTCGGGGCTGGAACTCTCGGGGGCTGGAACTCTCGGGGGCTGGAACTCTCGGGCTGGAACTCTCGGGGGCTGGAACTCTCGGGGGCTGGAACTCTCGGGGCTGGAACTCTCGGGGCTGGAACTCTCGGGGCTGGAACTCTCGGGGCTGGAACTCTGGGGGCTGGAACTCTCGGGGCTGAAACTCTCGGGTGCTGGAACTCTCGGGGGCTGGAACTCTCGGGGGCTGGAACTCTCGGGGGCTGGAACTCTCGGGGGCTGGAACTCTCGGGGCTGGAACTCTCGGGGCTGGAACTCTCGGGGGCTGGAACTCTCGGGGCTGGAACTCTCGGGGCTGGAACTCGCGGGGGCTGGAACTCTCGGGGCTGGAACTCTCGGGCTGGAACTCTCGGGCTGGAACTCTCGGGTGCTGGAACTCTCGGGGGCTGGAACTCTCGGGGGCTGGAACTCTCGGGGGCTGGAACTCTCGGGGGCTGGAACTCTCGGGGGCTGGAACTCTCGGGGCTGGAACTCTCGGGGCTGGAACTCTCGGGGCTGGAACTCTCGGGGGCTGGAACTCTCGGGGCTGGAACTCTCGGGGCTGGAACTCTCGGGGCTGGAACTCTCGGGGCTGAAACTCTCGGGGGCTGGAACTCTCGGGGCTGGAACTCTCGGGGCTGGAACTCTCGGGGGCTGGAACTCTGGAGGCTGGAACTCTCGGGGCTAGAACTCTCGGGGCTGAAACACTCGGGGGCTGGAACTCTCGGGGCTGAAACTCTCGGGGGCTGGAACTCTCGGGGGCTGGAACTCTCGGGGCTGAAACTCTCGGGGGCTGGAACTCTGGAGGCTGGAACTCTCGGGGCTGGAACTCTCGGGGGCTGGAACTCTCGGGGCTGAAACTCTCGGGGGCTGGAACTCTGGAGGCTGGAACTCTCGGGGCTGGAACTCTCGGGGGCTGGAACTCTCGGGGGCTGAAACTCTCGGGGGCTGGAACTCTCGGGGCTGGAACTCTCGGGGCTGGAACTCTCGGGGCTGGAACTCTCGGGGCTGGAACTCTGGGGGGCTGGAACTATGGTGGGGCTGGATCTCTGGGGGGCTGGAACTCTGGGGGCTGGAACTCTGGGGTACTGGAACTCTGGGGTACTGGAACTCTCGGGGGCTGGAACTCTCGGGTTCTGGAACTCTCGGGGGCTGGAACTCTCGGGGCTGGAACTCTCGGGGGCTGGAACTCTGGAGGCTGGAACTCTGGAGGCTGGAACTCTGGAGGCTGGAACTCTGGGGGCTGGAACTCTGGGGGCTGGAACTCTCGGGGGCTGGAACTCTCGGGGGCTGGAGCGTCAAGATTAGTATTGGACTTCCAGGCGCAAGAGCTTCAGGGGTTTTGAGAGTCTGAGGGGGGGGGGGTACCCGCTTAAAATGTGCTATGAGGCTCTTAGTGATTCAGCTTTAGTCGCTGTTTGAAGCTCTCCACCCCCCCCACACCCCCACCCCCCCACACCCCCACCCTCTTAGTCACAACAAAAAGTGCAGCTGGAATGTCAATGATCTGACGAATTTGAATTTTTCTCCCAAGTTGGCACTCCTGAGTGACAAGTCTGGCACTCCTGAGTGACGAGTCTGGCACTCCTGAGTGACGAGTCTGGCACTCGTGAGTGACAAGTCTGGCACTCCTGAGTGACAAGTCTGGCACTCCTGAGTGACAAGTCTGGCACTCCTGAGTGACGAGTCTGGCACTCCTGAGTGACGAGTCTGGCACTCCTGAGGGACAAGTCTGGCACTCCTGAGTGACGAGTCTGGCACTCCTGAGTGACGAGTCTGGCACTCCTGAGTGACAAGTCTGGCACTCCTGAGTGACGAGTCTGACACTCCTGAGTGACGAGTCTGGCACTCGTGAGTGACGAGTCTGGCACTCCTGAGTAACGAGTCTGGCACTCCTGAGTGACGAGTCTGGCACTCCTGAGTGACAAGTCTGGCACTCCTGAGTGACGAGTCTGGCACTCCTGAGTGACGAGTCTGGCACTCCTGAGTGACAAGTCTGGCACTCCTGAGTGACAAGTCTGGCACTGGTGAGTGACGAGTCTGGCACTCGTGAGTGACAAGTCTGGCACTCCTGAGTGATAAGTCTGGCACTCCTGAGTGACGAGTCTGGCACTCCTGAGTGACAAGTCTGGCACTCGTGAGTGACGAGTCTGGCACTCCTGAGTGACGAGTCTGGCACTCAACACCGACACCACGCCGGAATGTTGAACTAGTTACTGTTGGATAGTTGTTGGGTTTTACTAGTGACTAATGCACAGTTCTTAGGTTAAGTGTCTAATTGGTGATTAGAAAGAAGAAATCCGTAACTTACTAACGTGTTCTGAATGTTTTAGCTCTCGATTGATGACTTTATGAAGCATAGTTGATGACATGGATTGGGTTAAGAAAAATGTTGCCGGCGACTGATTGATGGCTCGTTGAGAGGACCGTAAATCCCCCTCGCGCTGGGGATTACGGCAGGATTTATCGTCTCTTTTACGACCGTCGAGGATTTCATGCCTAAGGCGCATTGCTTGATGAAGTAGGGAGATAAGAAGCCACTATTGTAAATGGATTGTGAGAGATTGAGATTGAAAGACTGATAAAGAGATTGGGGAGAGAGAGAGAGAGAGAGAGAGAGAGAGAGGAGAGAGAGAGAGAGAGAGAGAGGAGAGAGAGATGGAGAGAGAGAGAGAGAGGAGAGAGAGAGAGAGAGAGAGAGAGAGAGAGAGAGAGAGAGAGGAGAGAGAGAGAGAGAGGAGAGAGAGAGAGAGAGAGAGAGAGAGAGAGAGAGAGAGAGAGAGAGAGAGAGAGAGAGAGAGAGAGAGAGAGAGAGAGAGAGAGAGAGAGAGAGAGAGAGAGAGAGAGAGAAATATCAGGGGAAAGGGCCAAGCCATTACGACTATATAGCATTGGGAAGGGGTCAGGATAAGGATTTTGGGATGGGACGGGGTAGAAGGAATGGTGCCCAACCATTTGTGGACAGTCGGGGATTGAACGCCGACATGCTTGAAGCGAGATCGTCGCTCTACCGTCCAGCCCAAGAGAGAGAGAGAGGGAAGGATAGAGAGTGCGAGGGAGGAATGTCCTTGTGTGCGTGAGTTAAAGATAAGAGACACACAGTTAAGGAAGGTCCAGCCTGGAGGCTTCCCATATCACAAGCAGCTTCGTGCCGAGGTCTTCTTAAGCCCAAAGGACAAAATAAATCCTACGTAAATTTGCTCTTAATAAATCGATAACTATAGTAGGCATCCACCAGTCTCGGGAGACTGGTGGAGTTGCGCTCTGGAGCGGCCTCTCCAGGGCGTAGAGCCAGGCTAGGTTGATAAGGAGGAGAAGTTGTTACCCATGCAGCAGGTTCCCCCTATAGTTGTCCATACGACAACTATAGAGTTATCTAAAACGAACTTAATTCCATGACAATGTTAACTTGTTTGTGATAGTCACCCTTAGTTGGGCAAATCATTTCTCTAGAGTGTACAGTGATTAGCATTTTGTTAACAAATTGTGGTACTGTAGCATAGGGAATGATATGCCTATCATACCACACCTGGTCTGTGGTAGTGACTATTGATTTGTAATGATTGATGCAATTACTGCATCAAAAGGAGATATTAATAAGCTGTTAAATTTTTCAACACAAAACCCTGGATATGAATTGAATAGTTTTATGTTAAGGGAAGACCTGGGTAAATACCAGCTTTGATTACCGGGTAACATAATGGACGCAGGATCGCTGGAGTGTTTCAAGCGTAGGTTAGACATGTTTGGGTGAATACAAGTAGGAGCCGCCTCGTATTTGCCAAAATAAGCCTTCTGCAGTTTGCTTAATAATGTGCTTATGTATTGGGTAATGCAATTGGTGTTTCTGAAGTTAAATAAGACCCTTAAAGCGCTCACCAAGCTGCCGCCTCTCTCCTACAGCGGAACTAAAATGTGAGATAATTTAGGATGAGTTTATATGAGTGTGAAGAGTTTGGTGGGGGAGGCAAGAGCCAGGTGATGCCTCGCTAATTAAACCCAAGCCCCAGGTGCCAATATGAACCAACATTGCCTCTACCGCCGCTTACAACCATAAAACTTAAACGCTCTCGAGTGAGTTGATCCTGAGACAAGTGATAAGTTTAGTGAGTGTTCGTACTCTGGCGGGCATTGACACACAGAAAAGTATAAGTAAGCTTAGCATACTAACGAGTATATGTTGATCCCGATCAAAGTGAGACTTAAGTTTAGCCCAATAACACAATCACGCCGAGACCAAAACTTAAATCAAAGAGTTTTATTAAAGTTTAAGTGTGAAGTTTGAGCTGCTTTAAACGTAAAGCAAAAAAAATCATAATCATATTTTATATTATATATATATATATATATATATATATATATATATATATATATATATATATATACATATATATATATATATATATATATATATATATATATATATATATATATATATATATATATATACAAAAGTGAAGTCTGAAAAAGGCTTTATGTTAGCGCGAGAGAAAATACTAATTATGCCTTAAACTACAAGGAAAAATATGTGTTTACTGGAGAAAATCTGTCTCAAGTCTTAGAGAATGAAGAGGAAAGTGGCCTTTTGATCCTATTTTAAGAATGTAAATAACTTTAAGCAACTTCTTCATGAAGCAGTGACTGTATGAAGCAGTGACCTCATGAAGCAGTGACCTCATGAAGCAGTGACCACATCAGACAGTGACCACATCAAACAGTGACCACATCAAACAGTGACCACATCAAACAGTGACCACATCAAACAGTGACCACATCAAACAGTGACCACATCAAGCAGTGACCACATCAAACAGTGACCACATCAGACAGTGACTACATCAAACAGTGACCACATCAAGCAGTGACCACATCAAACAGTGACCACATCAAACAGTGACCACATCAAACAGTGACCACATCAAACAGTGACCACATCAGACAGTGACCACATCAAGCAGTGACCACATCAAACAGTGACCACATCAAACAGTGACCACATCAAACAGTGACCACATCAAACAGTGACCACATCAAGCAGTGACCACATCAAACAGTGACCACATCAAGCAGTGACCACATCAAACAGTGACCACATCAAACAGTGACCACATCAGTGACCACATCAAACAGTGACCACATCAAACAGTGACCACATCAGACAGTGACTACATCAAACAGTGACCACATCAAACAGTGACCACATCAGACAGTGACCACATCAAGCAGTGACCACATCAAACAGTGACCACATCAAACAGTGACCACATCAAACAGTGACTACATCAAACAGTGACCACATCAAACAGTGACCACATCAGTGACCACATCAAACAGTGACCACATCAAGCAGTGACCACATCAGTGAACACATCAAACAGTGACCACATCAAACAGTGACCACATCAAACAGTGACCACATCAGTGACCACATCAAACAGTGACCACATCAGTGACCACATCAGACAGTGACCACATCAGACAGTGACTACATCAAACAGTGACCACATCAAGCAGTGACCACATCAAACAGTGACCACATCAAGCAGTGACCACATCAAACAGTGACCACATCAAACAGTGACCACATCAAACAGTGACCACATCAAACAGTGACCACATCAAACAATGACTACATCAGTGACCACATCAAACAGTGACCACATCAAACAATGACTACATCAGTGACCACATCAAACAGTGACCACATCAAACAGTGACCACATCAGACAGTGACCACATCAAATAGTGACCACATCAAGCAGTGACCACATCAAACAGTGACCACATCAGACAGTGACTACATCAAACAGTGACCACATCAAACAGTGACCACATTAGTGACTACATCAAACAGTGACCACATTAGTGACTACATCAGTGACCACATCAGACAGTCACCACATCAAGCAGTGACCACATCAAACAGTGACCACATTAGTGACTACATCAAACAGTGACCACATTAGTGACTACATCAAACAGTGACCACATTAGTGACTACATCAAACAGTGACCACATCAAGCAGTGACCACATCAGTGACCACATCAAACAGTGACCACATCAAACAGTGACCACATTAGTGACTACATCAAACAGTGACCACATCAAACAGTGACCACATTAGTGATTACATCAAACAGTGACCACATCAAACAGTGACCACATCAAGCAGTGACCACATCAAACAGTGACCACATCAAACAGTGACCACATCAAACAGTGACCACATCAAACAGTGACCACATCAAGCAGTGACCACATTAGTGACTACATCAAACAGTGACCACATTAGTGACTACATCAAACAGTGACCACATCAGACAGTGACCACATCAAACAGTGACCACATCAAACAGTGACCACATCAAACAGTGACCACATCAAACAGTGACTACATCAAACAGTGACTACATCAGACAGTGACCACATCAAACAGTGACCACATCAAGCAGTGACCACATCAAGCAGTAACCACATCAAACAGTGACCACATCAAGCAGTGACCACATCAAACAGTGACCACATCAAACAGTGACCACATCAAACAGTGACCACATCAAACAGTGACCACATCAAACAGTGACCACATCAAACAGTGACTACATCAAACAGTGACTACATCAAACAGTGACCACATCAGACAGTGACCACATCAAGCAGTGACCATATTAGTGACTACATCAATCAGTGACTACATCAGACAGTGACCACATCAAACAGTGACCACATCAGACAGTGACTACATCAGACAGTGACCACATCAAACAGTGACCACATCAAACAGTGACCACATCAGTGACCACATCAAACAGTGACCACATCAGTGACCACATCAAACAGTGACCACATCAAGCAGTGACCACATTAGTGACTACATCAAACAGTGACCACTTTGGTGACTACATCAAACAGTGACCACATCAGACAGTTACCACATCAAACAGTGACCACATCAGACAGTGACTACATCAGACAGTGACCACATCAAACAGTGACCACATCAAGCAGTGACCACATCAAGCAGTGACCACATTAGTGACTACATCAAACAGTGGCCACATTAGTGACTACATCAAACAGTGACCACATCAAGCAGTGACCACATCAAACAGTGACCACATTAGTGACTACATCAAACAGTGACCACATTAGTGACTACATCAAACAGTGACCACATTAGTGACTACATCAAACAGTGACCACATTAGTGACTACATCAAACAGTGACCACATCAAACAGTGACCACATTAGTGACTACATCAAACAGTGACCACATTAGTGACCACATCAAACAGTGACCACATCAGTGACCACATGAAGATAAAGCGACCTCCTCACGAAAAAAGGAACAATGTCATGCAGAAATTAAGACAGACAAAAGATGAACACATAACATAAACTTGAGAGAAAAAACCCCGCACCAGATTAGAACACATTGTGAAGGAAGTTATTAGAGAAGACTTGAGAATGGTCCAGGACGGGCCGACACGTGGTCGTCCCTTCACCTTATAGTGTGTGGTCAACATTAGCCAGGTTATTGTGACTCCTCGTCTGGATAATAGAGAAGAGGAAGGTTTTAAGGAGGACCTCGATGAAGAGGTAAAGTAGAGAGGTCCCAGTTACCCCGCCCTGAGGAACGCCGCCGCCGCCGCTGCTCTTACAGACGGCGTGATGACTGTGGACAACCCTGTGACCTCGCCCAAGGTCACGGGCGAGGTGGAGATTGATGAATACAAGGTCAACGAATCCAACTCTAACACCATCAAATCCAGGTGAGTAAATCCCTCCAGGACGCTCTTGAGAGCCAGGGATAAGATCACTTTTTAAGAAAGTATTAAGAGCATTGAACTTGAATTCCAGGATGTTTCCAGATGCACTACCGACTGAGCCACGATGAGCTCTGGAGCCCAGGGACGTAAGTTCGATCCCATTGTATGGCTTCAGTATTCTCTCACTGATACAGCACGTTGTTGTGGATACAACATGCATCAGTCTTTAAAAAGGATGTCGTTGAACGTAACTGTTTTAAGTTTCATTGTTAATACCGTTAAGTTTCAGATATATGTAGCAAGTTCAATTCTAAGTTGTCAAGCCCAACTTAACCCGTCACGGGGAGATGTTAAGTGTCCAGCAGGACACAGCTGAGGGTTGTCAACTATTTTCGTCATTATTTTGACGAAAATGCCCGTCCTCCCGCCCAAAATGTCCGTCCTCCCGCCCAAAATGCCCGTCCTCCCGCCCAAAATGCCCGTCCTCCCGCCCAAAATGCCCGTCCTCCCGCCCAAAATGCCCGTCCTCCCGCCCAAAATGCCCGTCCTCCCGCCCAAAATGCCCGTCCTCCCGCCCAAAATGCCCGTCCTCCCGCCCAAAATGCCCGTCCTCCCGCCCAAAATGCCCGTCCTCCCGCCCAAAATGCCCGCCAATTTGCCCAGCGTCACGACATGCCCGCCAATCCGCATGTCCGGAGTGGAAAACATTGATTTCTGATTTACCTGTCTGGAAATGACGACGTAGTGATTGGCTTCTTCAACTTTGAGATCTCGAGCCGCTTTACTCTCCTCTCCCGCTCTTGCTCCTTCTCTCTCTCTCTCCCTAAGTCTTCCTCTTTATCGTCCTCTTCTTGCTTCTTATTCGTCTCTCATACCTTCCCCTCGACTCTCGCAGCTTCCTCCATTTTTTCCATCGATTCTCTGAAAAATTATTCTGTACGTTATATTTTTACAGCAGTTTCCCTTATTGTTGGTCTCCTTTGTTTATGTTTTCTGTGACACTCTGCCGGCCTCTGTGTTTGTGTGTTTATTATTTGTATCTGCAGCATCTAGCTCTTGGGCCCCGCCTTTCTAACTGATCTATTTTTTCTTTAACACACACATACACTCACACACATCCCCCAGGAAGCAGCCCGTAGCAGCTGTATAACTCCCAGGTACCTATCTACTGCTAAGTGAACAGGTGCATCAGAGTGAAACAAACTGTGTGTGTGTGTGTGTGTGTGTGTGTGTGTGTGTGTGTGTGTGTGTGTGTGTGTGTGTGTGTGTGTGTGTGTTAAAAGGTTGCCAAGGAACTATCAAACCCATTGTGATGATTTTTCATTGATATATTTATCTTCTGTAGTCAAACCCCAGCCCTCCTCTTTGCTGGTGGGGGAGGTGGGGGTGGGGGTGGGGGGGTAGAACGATGGATGAAGGAGGGGGGAATGGGGGGGGGAGGGAGTAGGAAGGTTAGGTTATGAAGGAAGAGTTGGGGTCACAGGTCACTAATAATGCCAAATGAACATTCTAAAGACACGAAAATTCCCCCCCCCCATTCTCTCCTGTCCTTCCTTCCCCTCTCCTATCCCACTCTTCCCCCCGCCTCCCCCACTCTTCCCCCGTCTCCCCCACTCTTCCCCCGCCTCCCCTACTTCCCCCGCCTCCCCCACTCTTCCCCCGCCTCCCCCACTCTTCCCCCGCCCTCCCCCTACTCTTCCCCCGCCTCCCCCACTCTTCCCCCGCCTCCCCCACTCTTCCCCGCCTCCCCCACTCTTCCCCCGCCCTCCCCCCACTCTTCCCCCGCCTCCCCCACTCTTCCCCCGCCCTCCCCCTACTCTTCCCCCGCCTCCCCCACTCTACCCCCGCCTCCCCCACTCTTCCCCCGCCTCCCCCACTCTTCCCCCGCCTCCCCCACTCTTCACCCCCCCCCATCCCTCTTGTCAGTGCCAAATTGAAGGCACTTCATAAGGGCGAATATTGGTCCTCATTGTGCGGATTTTTGACTCTTACCGCAGATTATCCTCCAGGATGCCGAGGGCTTGTTATTTTGGTGTGTGTGTGAGTGTGTGTGTGTGTGTGTGTGTGTGTGCGTGGGTGTGTGTGTGTGTGTGTGGGTGTGTGTGTGTGTGTGTGTGTGTGTGTGTGTGTGTGTGTGTGTGTGTGTGTGTGTGTGTGTGTGTGTGTGTGTGTGTGTGTGTGTGTGTGTGGGTGTGGGTGTGTGTGTGTGTGTGTGGGTGTGTGGGTGTGTGTGTGTGTGGTGTGTGTGTGTGTGGGTGTGTGTGTGTGTGTGTGTGGTGTGTGTGTGTGTGTGTGTGTGTGTGTGTGGTGTGTGTGTGTGTGTGTGTGTGTGTGTGTGTGTGTGTGTGTGTGTGTGGGTGTGTGTGTGTGTGGTGTGTGTGTGTGTGACGGAAAAATAAATTAATTCGTGCAGGCAATACGAGACAAGTATTGAGAGTTGGTAAATTGGAGTGAAGGATTGGATCACTTCTCCGGCAGAGGCTGTAGCATTGATAGCTGTAGCGCGTGAACGTCTCCGGTGATTTGTTCCAGAACTTGACGCGTTGAGCTCTAGCGTCAAGCTCTACATTACCACAATCTCTATTATAGAGTTCAAGAGTTCCTCAAGAGCAAAGGTCAAAGTTCAAGGTCAAAGAACCAGTCAGTCTGTTACTTCTTGCAAGCTGCATGAGTTTAAATGTTGGGTTGGTGTTCCATCCCATCCATCTCTCCCCATTAACCCCCACCCCATCTCCCCCCATCAACCCCCACCCCATCTTTCCCCATTAACCCCCACCCCATCTCCCCATTAACCCCCACCCCATCTCTCCCCATTAACCCCTATACCCCATCAACCCCCACCCCATCTCTCCCCATTAACCCCCACCCCATCTCCCCCCATTAACCCCTATACCCCATCTTTCCCCATTAACCCCCACGCCATCTCCCCCTATTAACCCCCACCCCATCTCCCCATTAACCCCCACCCCATCTCCCCATTAACCCCCACCCCATTTCCCCATTAACCCCCACCCCATCTCTCCCCATTAACCCCCACCCCATCTCCCCCATTAACCCCCTCACCATCTCCCCATTCACCCCCATGAGACCACCAGACGCCACAGTTTCTCACGCTGTTCCGTGCCGTAAGCACTTGAGTACACGCTACTTGTTTCCTGGTCCCGCTGTCGACGCTCCGTGGTGCTCCGTGACGCTCCGTGGTGCTCCGTGACGCTCCGTGACGCTCCGTGACGCTCCGTGGTGCTCTGTGACGCTCCGTGGTGCTCCGTGACGCTCCGTGGTGCTCCGTGGTGCTCCGTGGTGCTTCGTGACACTCCGTGGTGCTCCGTGGTGCTCGGTGACGCTCCGTGGTGCTTCGTGACGCTCCGTGGTGCTCCGTGACGCTCCGTGGTGCTCGGTGACGCTCCGTGGTGCTCGGTGACGCTCCGTGGTGCTTCGTGACGCTCCGTGGTGCTTCGTGACGCTCCGTGGTGCTCGGTGACGCTCCGTGGTGCACGGTGACGCTCCGTGGTGCTTCGTGACGCTCCGTGGTGCACGGTGACGCTCCGTGGTGCTTCGTGACGCTCCGTGTTGCTTCGTGACGCTCCGTGGTGCACGGTGACGCTCCGTGGTGCTTCGTGACGCTCCGTGGTGCTTCGTGACGCTCCGTGGTGCTTCGTGACGCTCCGTGGTGCACGGTGACGCTCCGTGGTGCTTCGTGACGCTCCGTGGTGCTCGGTGACGCTCCGTGGTGCTTCGTGACACTCCGTGGTGCTCCGTGGTGCTCGGTGACGCTCCGTGGTGCTTCGTGACGCTCCGTGGGGCTCGGTGACGCTCCGTGGTGCTCGGTGACGCTCCGTGGTGCTCGGTGACGCTCTATGGTGCTTCGTGACGCTCCGTGGTGCTTCGTGACGCTCCGTGGTGCTTCGTGACGCTCCGTGGTGCACGGTGACGCTCCGTGGTGCTTCGTGACGCTCCGTGGTGCACGGTGACGCTCCGTGGTGCTTCGTGACGCTCCGTGGTGCTTCGTGACGCTCCGTGGTGCACGGTGACGCTCCGTGGTGCTTCGTGACGCTCCGTGGTGCTTCGTGACGCTCCGTGGTGCTCCGTGACGCTCCGTGACGCTCCGTGACGCTCCGTGGTGCTTCGTGACGCTCCGTGGTGCTGCGTGACGCTCCGTGGTGCTTCGTGACGCTCCGTGGTGCTTCGTGACGCTCCGTGGTGCTTCGTGACGCTCCGTGGTGCACGGTGACGCTTCGTGACGCTCCGTGGTGCTTCGTGACGCTCCGTGGTGCTTCGTGACGCTCCGTGGTGCTTCGTGACGCTCCGTGGTGCTTCGTGACGCTCCGTGGTGCTTCGTGACGCTCCGTGGTGCTTCGTGACGCTCCGTGGGGCTCGGTGACGCTCCGTGGTGCTCGGTGACGCTCCGTGGTGCTTCGTGACGCTCCGTGGTGCTTCGTGACGCTCCGTGGTGCTTCATGACGCTTTGTGGTGCTTCGTGACGCTCCGTGGTGCTTCGTAACGCTCCGTGACGCTCCGTGACACTCCGTGGTGCTTCGTGACGCTCCGTGACGCTCCGTGGTGCTTCGTGACGCTCCGTGATGCTTCGTGACGCTTTGTGACGCTCCGTGATGCTTCGTGGTGCTTCGTGACGCTCCGCGGTGCTTCGTGACGCTCCGTGGTGCTTCGTGACGCTCCGTGGTGCTTCGTGACGCTCCGTGGTGCTTCGTGACGCTCCGTGATGCTACGTGACGCTCCGTGGTGCTCCGTGACGCTCCGTGGTGCTCCGTGGTGCTTCGTGACGCTCCGTGACGCTCCGTGGTGCTTCGTGACGCTCCTTGGTGCTTCGTGACGCTCCGTGTTGCTTCGTGACTCTCCGTGATGCTTCGTGACGCTCCGTGGTGCTTCGTGACGCTCCGTGGTGCTTCGTGACGCTCCGTGGTGCTTCGTGACGCTCCGTGGTGCTCGGTGACGCTCCGTGGTGCTCGGTGACGCTCCGTGGTGCTCGGTGACGCTCCGTGGTG